CACAAGTTTTACATATTCTTCGTCGTATTTATTTGATGCAGGAATAGTGTTCACTGAATCTTGATTGGAATTCATGAAGTCTAGTACGTATTCTTCTATCCTATTTAATTATTCTATACAATTATTACAGCGTCATGTAAAAAATATTACACTGAATTATAATTAATTTATACAATCGCTATCGAAAATATATTGCACGGTTACGAACTGACAACAATAAATAAGAGTGATTAAATAGCAGTATAAGTCTAACACTAGTTAAAAATTTAAATACAATGGTAATAATAACAAACTATTTTACACTGACATAAATTTAAAAAATGAAAACGGAGATTATTTTTGGTTCAATCTAATAAAATGCTTAACGAACGAAAATTTTAATTCTCAGTGAAATAAACTCATTTTATGTCAACTTTTACGTTAAATTACGTTTCAAATTTTACGTTAAATGTATGTACTACGGTAATATATACCTCAGGTTTTGCACGATTTTTTTACCTCCCATAGTTTTTGCAAGCATCCCCACCATTTCACCGAGCAACAAATCCGCGGTGAAGCTTGATCTTAGCATTTAATCGGCAGCCAATCAGAGCAAAGCAATTTCTACTCCTATACTTGTCACAGATAGAACGCACAGCTAACTTCAGGATGTCAACTGTATATTGTTATGGCTCCCGTCTTGTTCGTATGTGATAACAAAATAACGAGAATATGGCTTGAGAAAATTAAAGAACGCTTTATTGTCCGAGTTCTAAGATGTGTTTTCTATGAGCACTGAATAAAGTCTGTTATTTTTCATGAAGTTTGGAATCTCCTTCCAACTTCTTTCCCGTCTTTTCTTTTTGGCCAATAGGAAAATTGGAGTCCTCTAGCTGGTCGCTGATTCGTCGAATGATTGGTGGTGGTTAATTATTTTCGTTAATAACTCGTAAACAAAGCCGTGGATTACATTCGCGGTAAAGAAAAAGGAAGCATAATTTTAGAACATCATATACATGGTCTAAGTGTTCGAATCGTGTACATATATGCATATACCTAAGATTCGCAATGTTCGCATCGTGTAATACGGGGTACGGATGCTATCCCCACTTCTACCACTACCTCGAGTCACCTGCGCCGGTTCCGTTGCAACCTAAGCACACTGGTACACATATACATACAGTCGAAATAATTCACATGTACGTACTAGTGCATAGTATTTTTTTGATTGAATATATGATATATAATAAATAAACGTAACTTTTCAATATTGTAAATATATATTAATATTAGACATGCGAATATTTTTGTATATTCTACTTGATATTTCCCTAAACATCCCTAGGAAATTTTACCTGATCTTCCTTCTCCTAACAATTATTCTGGAATGTGGTAACAAGACAAAGAGGGTGGGAATAATAAACGTTAGGCGTGTCGGTGTCTGTTTTTAAATATATTTTAATAGAAGATTACATTGATAAAGCGATCTTATTACAAATATTTCGTTCTGAATGGTACGAATTCGACATTTCGGAAAATTAATTACGTATCTTAAAATGTCGGCTGTGCAAAAAATCTTGTGCACAGAGAATGCCCTAAAGATTCTTAATTCGTAGCGTATCATTTTCTAATTCAACAAAGTTTCAACACCGCGATTGTGATATAGCACTAAGTATATGTGCCTGGCGTTCGGAAACGATTGGAAGAGGGTATGTTCTTATGGGGTAGCTCGAGGGCGGTAACCTTTGCCGGGGAATGGAGACTGAGAGCGTAAAATCGGGGGCTAGCGAGCATAGCCATAGCCATCATAGCAGGACTTCTCAAAAACATCACAGAACTCATAGTTCTAAGTCTCATCACAGACAACATTCTCATAGAAGTACCAGGTATTTGAATCTGATGACCAAATGTGCTTATGTAATAATGGCAAAAATTATAGTTAAATCCTGTGTTTCACTTATAATATGAATATTTTTATTTAAAAGGACCAGTCGCAGTCACAGAAAGGAAAGGCATCATTTAGATACAAGCGAAATGGCTCCTTTTCAAACGACTGTTAACGTAAGAGGCGATAGTGTCGACAATTTGGGTCAAGAAGTTATCGAAGTACAGATATTACCACAAGATGAAAACTGGGGCGAAAATACTACTGCTGTTACCGGAAATACTTCCGATAGATCAGAATCGACTGAAGATGTGAGCCACTGGCCGCATGAAAATGATGGATCATTTAGTTCCTGTAATCGATTCGTGGGTCCTGTTATAGCAATGATAATTGGACTAAGCGCCTTTCTTAGCCCTGTCGCTATGGTTATACTGCCCAAAGTAGGATTTTTTCCTGATTCTACAACCGTATTAACAATGCAACAAAAGCTACAATTGCTATCATGTAACGCAGAATGTAAAGGCCAATTGTTAGGTTTAGCCTTTAAGTTGGTGCTACTAGGTATCGGGAGTTGGGCTGTGTTTTTACACTCACGAAACGCTACTATGCCTCGTATATTCTTATTCAGAGCTGGGGTATTACTTCTTACCACATTGTGCATTTGTACTTATTGGCTATTTTACGTTGTTCAGGTATATAATTTTATCAAATGTTTTCAAGTTTCCTTTCCATTATAACATTTATATAAAATTATTATAAATCTTAGGTCACAGAGAGTGCAAAGACTGCTGCAAATGGTGGAATAACAGAGTACAAAAATTTAGTAAATTACGCTGGTACTCTCGCAGATACTCTATTGTTCATACATTATATCGCGATATTACTTATTGAAATCCGGCATCAACAACCTATGTTTTATATCAAGGTATGTCAAGGTTAAATTTTATATAATAACTTTCACTTTTTAAGTATATTCTAACGATAACTTAATATTCAAGGTTGTAAGATCACCAGACGGTGTATCACGATCGTATGCAATTGGTCAGTTATCGATACAACGAGCAGCAGTGTGGGTATTAGAAAGGTATTATACAGAATTTCCTATCTATAATCCATATTTGGAACGACTGCCCGTATCAAAGTCTGGCAGAAAACAGTCAAGCTTCAAATTTTATGAAGTTGACGGTGGTGTTACTAGTGGTGTTCAGTCTCGAGGAGGTAGCGGCGATAGATCTGTAATGCCGACTCAAACCCGTCGTAGGGATTCTAGCCATAATGAACGTTTTTACGAAGAACACGATTATGAACGTAGAGTTAGGAAACGTAGAGCAAGATTAATCACTGCCGCTGAGGAAGCATTTGCACATATTAAACGTTTACATTCGGAGGTAGAATCAACTCCAAATCCTGGTCCTATGGATCCTATGGAAGCTGCGCAAGCGGTATTTCCATCTATGGCAAGAGCCTTGCAAAAGTATTTAAGAGTGACACGACAGCAACCGCGTCACTCTGTAGAGTCTATTTTAAATCGACTTGCACGGTGTTTAGCTCAAGATGCAGCCCCGCGAGCATTTCTAGAGCCTTTTTTCGTAACAAGTCCCGTTTTTTCAAACGAGAAGGAGAGACAGAAACGTTCTCATCATTGGGCCTTAGTTTGCGAAGGCGAATTACCATCACGACCTCTTGCTAATGGTTGCGAATTTCAATTGAGACAAGGTGAAGTAGCTCTTTTATGTACAGCATATCATTTACCCCACTTCCATCTTACGGAACAACTTGCGCATCCGAAATCTAACAAATTCTTGTTAAGATTAAACTCTGAAACATCGGTCTAGTAATGCTTTAAAATTAACGAAATTCTTTGAGATAATTTGCAATCAGATGCTTGTATTTTTATTGAATACAGAATTCATTAAGAACGAGTAGTTTTTTACTGTATATATATATAATTGAGAAAAAACTCCACAATAATAAGCTTGTAAGTATTGTGAATTAAATATAACTATAGCGATGCTAATAATACAGAAGCCTATATTATTGTTATATACATATAGCAGTGATAAAGTTTTTATTAGAGTATATTTTCAGACAAACAGAAATTTTCACAGCATTGAGATAGTTTTTCATAACGCTGTCACAGAAAAATGTTCCCATTAATGAAATTATTCATATTCCTTCTTTGCTATAAGCGATCGGAGGATACATGGACGATGCAGTGTTGCATTCATGGCTTTGGATAAAATACTCAATCATTCATACTATACACGCACACATTTATTTATTCCATTATTTGTATAGTATAATTTATAAAATCAAAATAAGTCGTATCATATTGACTAAAGTCTAGCAGTATTGACTAAAAGTATAAGATTTTTGAGCATTTTTTGGAACATTAGTATACCTATAGTGAAAAAAAAACCAACAAAATTAATTTCAAATGACTCGTAAAGTAGTTGTGTTTTAGTTGAAATATACATATAAGCTATAAATGCTTCTTCGTTGTTGAAATAATAGTGTCCC